GTGTGGGTGTGGGTGTGGGTGTGGGTGTGGGTGTGGGTGTGGGTGTGAATGTTGGCGAAGATTTAATGAACAGCCATACACACCTACACCCACCCACACTTACACCCACACACACCCACACCCACACCCACACAACCACACCCACACCCTCACACCATGCCCTTCTTGTGAAATGTGTATGGGGTATTGGAGTTGTTTTGTTGTTGATGTAAATATTTTGTTTCCGGAATTCATGCGAGTCATGCTGCTTGGTAAATTTTTGGGATTTGATTGCGAAAGCGAGTAGCGTGTTTTTATTTGTTTATGTTGGTAGGTTTTGTGGTCTGCCTGTAGGAACGGTTTTTTGCTTTGTTCTAAGCTTTTGGTTGGTATTAGTTTGTTGTGTGTGTTGATTTTTACAGGGTATAGTGTATATCTGGTTGTTTGAAAGTGTTTAGTGCAATTGGTATTTAGAAAGAATTGGACAGTAGAACTTGTTTCATGCGGTTGGGTGATCAGCGCTGTTTTGTTTTCGAAAGAAGGGAGACGCCAATTTTGAGATGGTATGCATTATTCTGCGGCGAACGGGATACACTATTTGTTTGATCTTTGAGTATTGCTTTAGTATGGTAATGGTGTATCTGCTACTAGAGTTTTTATAACGAAGACACCCTCCGTGTCGAAGTGGCTTTTATTGATCTGTAGCCTCTTTTCTTAATGAAACGAATGTGGAATGTGAGAGAATATGAGACGTTTGTTGCTGTTGTTCATGGATTCTGGTATTTGCATTGATATCTTCCCTTGTATGGTTCTGGTCGTTGAAGTTTGATGTATGTTTGGTTTCATAAAAAGCAATGAAGTGGAGACATGAAGAGAGAATGATCGCTGTACTTCTTCTATTAACGTGAATAAATGGGTGTAGCCCGAGTATTGATCGTACTTGGATAGTTGTAGCTCACATCTCGATTCGGTAACAATTGTTTCATCGGAGTAGAAGTTTAACATCCGAACATATCTGTGGATGATGGTTTCTTACTTCGTTGTCGGAAATTGATTTTAGTGTTAAAAGAAAACACTAGTATGAGCTTTACAAGGTACTCCATGATGAGCAACGTCCTGTTGTAGTATGCAGTTTTAGAGAAAGAAACTGTAACCTTTTTGTATGTCCTGAAACCAACTTAGGTATTAAACTACGTCAGATTACTAAGTATCTATTGAATGTGAGCAAAACGATGACCTTTGTTATAAACAATCACAGACTCTGGAACCAACACTTTCGAATAGATGTTTGTTCAGTAACCAAAACATTAGCATATAGATGGTTTCTTCCGCTATTCCATCATCATGATTATGACAATATGAAGACACCTACATCGTCGCTTATGTTGTGTAACTACTGCACAACTTTCAATGCATCGAAAAGAGACTAGGATCAGCATTGGCGCATCCTATAGACAATAACCTAACACATGTTAAGAATTTCCTCAAAGTAGACGAGCTTGTAACTTAAGAATGAATCGGAAACTTCGAATGCTTGTTTTATACTAAGGTTCCCAGCCTTCATTGGATTCTAACATCAACCTTTAACAGCAAATTATTCAGTTTACATAATGGTCAACAGAAAGTCGTCCACTTGAAGCCAAAAACAAACACACGATTTCTCGATCCATCCAAACAATAATTCAAATAACTGAAATAAATGTAAATTTGTCACATCTACCCTTTCAACCACATTATGTGCTCTCTTTTATTACATATCTCCATAAGAACTGAACCTACCAAAAACAGTCGAATGGAACATCAATCTCTTTTGAACCAAGCATTAACTAACGAAACCGTAAAGTGCCAGAACAAGTTGCTGTTGACTCAAGCTTATTAAATACATCTTCCGTCAATTTCTGACCATGTAATTCATCTAATGAAAAGCAGGAATTCGTAAGCGACCGGGGGGCTTCGCCCTCCAAACCCCCCAGCAGGGGACCTTGTCCCCCCCCCCCCCCCCCCATGACTCCCCACATACAACCCTCAGTACGTACTTCCTCTTACATACGGACTACGTCCGCACTTGTGGGCCGATGTTTACAGACGTCAAAGTATATGCTTCTGGCTCAGTAACAAAGATTTTTAACTCACAATCAATGTTTTGATCACATAAACACATCACTTATCCATTTTTATTGTATAAAATACAACCAAATCAATTTCACATCCTTACACACGTCGATTGTCCTCACACAAACAATCGGCGCTTTCCCCTCTTTTGCTCATTTCGAAGCAAACGTTGCGACTCGGTCAGCTGATCGAACATCACATGGCAAACGAACATTCCTAAGTAGACTTCTGTTCACCTCTTTTGCTCACTTTGAAGCAAAGGTTGCGACTCGGTCAGCTGATCGAACATCACATGGCAAACGAACATTCATCAACATACTTCTATTCACCTCTTTTGCTCACTTCGAAGCGAAGGTTGCGCCTCGGTCAGCTGATCGAACATCACATGGCAAACGAACATTCATAATGATACTTCTGTTCACCTCTTTTGCTCACTTCAAAGCAAAGGTTGCGACTCGG